GCCCAGGCCGTGAGGGGAGCGCTCCGGTGAGCCCGGCACCGGCTGAGCCCCGGCCGTGAGGGGAGCGCTCCGGTGAGCCCGGCACCGGCTGAGCCCCGGCCGTGAGGGGAGCGCTCCGGTGAGCCCGGCACCGGCTGAGCCCCGGCCGTGAGGGGAGCGCTCCGGTGCGTTCTGCTGCCAGCTGAACCCCGTGGCTGCGGCTGTTTGCCGTATCCCTGTCACAGCACTCTGCCCGGCTCTTCAAACCCAACCTTAGTGGGGCAGAAGTGTCATATGACACAGGGATGACTGCCAAATGTCATCCAGTTTTGACATAATGCCTTGGCAGAAGACAGAGATGCTCAAGAGGAGACACAGTATTAATTCTACCAGAGAAACTGGTAATGTCAGCATCCTGGTCTAAGGAGCTTTTTGTTTCACTCTTTTGTTGTTGTTTGGTTGGTTGGTTTGGGTTGGGTTTTGTTTTGTTTCTTTGTTTGTTTGTTTTTTGTTTTATTCCACTATCTACTCCTATGCTATATATATATATACATATATATAAATGTCCATAATTGAAATGCCTGTCAGATGTAGCTGGGGAGAAGAAACAAGATAGTTCAACTTTCTGCAGAGGAAGGAAACAGTATTGCCCTCAACCCCAGAATCTAGTAACAGAAATTCAAGCTATGGCTGAGCAATGAGTGTTTTCATGTCACAGGGGCTGTGAGCTACCATGACAGCAACACACACAACAGCCAGCCTGCTGCTCCAGAGGGAATGACAGCTTCCGAGCCATGCAGCAGGGACTGAGGGTTCCTCCTGCATGCAGAGACAGTCCTGCTACTGGGAAGATGATGAGCTGAACCTCAAGTCAAAATCAAAGAGCTCAGGTATCTGCTAGTCTTCTTGAATACTGACAGGATTTTGAGCAGGGATAGGGAGAAGGAAGAGAGACTAGAATACATTCCTGAGAACAAATTCCATCATGGCACTTTCCTCATAATCATTCATTCCCTGGCAGTCTTTTATCTGTATTATTCTTCCTTAGAACTTCAGGTGTTGCAAAGAAGTCAAGTATAGACACTAAAAATACTATCTTGCTAATACAGTTTAAGCAAAAGAAGAAACAGACCACTCAGAAGGCTATGCTAATAGCCTTAACAAAGTTAGAGTAAAGAAGTGGTTAAGGATCTAGATGATTTAATCCAGTTTTAAGAAAAGGTTTTACAGTGAGCAATTAGATGCTGTTTAAGGAATTAATCGCTAATGGGTCATTAACTCTGACTGGTATTGTACAGTTAACAAGCCGAGGCAGGATTATTAGACTCAGCACCCAATTAAGGAGGAGAAGATATTTACAACAAAATGAACAAATGGGCTTTTAAAATGGAATGGGACAATTTGAAAGAAAGTGTAGGAACATGGAAAACTAGACAGGCTAGAAGAAATATGTGTTTGCATATGCCTCTGTCTCTTTATTTGCCTACTTATATGTAGCTGGTAAAATATTAATTTTTAGTAAAAACTCAGAGCTTTCCTTGAAGGACAACAGCACACAGTTGATCCACTTTCAGGGTTCACATGTACAAGGTATAAGAAAGACCTGTTTAACATGCCAATAAAAGAACAACCACCATAGCTTGCCATAATCTTTATTTGTTAGCAGGTGCTGGATCAGGACCTTATTAAAAGTGAGCAGATATCTTCACCTGCTACTTCTGCTGCCCTGTCATTGTGGTTTTATCTACTGCCAGTCTTTGACTATCTCAAGTAACCAAGCATCAGAGCTTGTGACAGCTGATCAGGAAGTCAAGGGCTTCTTTCCAACAGCTTTACAGGATACAGAAGAACTGTAGGTAAGAGAAAGGGAGGGTAGTAATGCTAAAATGTGGGAAAGCACTATTGAAATTTTGGGGAGTTGCTTATTAACCATGAGCAATAAGCACAGGTGAGAACTTTAGAGCAGAAATTTAATGTCCTCACCTACAAGAGGGTTTTCAGCTTCAGAGCCAGAGCTGGAGTGCAGCCAAATAATGACGAGTGAGATTGTTCCTACCCTGAAAGACACACTTTGAATAGTGTGTGTCTCTTCCTGACACAAGCCAGGCTATGCAGGCACTTCCCAAGCACACCAAGAGAAATCCTTCTCTTGCAGCTACCAGAAAAGACATGCCTTCTTGCTACCCCAGCACCACTGGTGATGCAAGCAAAGCTCACGTGTGAAAGGACCAATAGAGTGAGACCTAAAACTGAAGCAATACGATTTGTTCTCATTTACTCAGGGGTCCTTACTAGAAGTTGGCAAAATACCTTCCTGGTCCTGACAGCAATGGCAGTTCTTCTCCTGGCAGCACTTCCTCTCTCTGTCAAAGAAGCAAAGAGATGTGTGCTCTGAAGGGTGGGCACCACCACCACAAATGCACACATAATAGAATTGTCAAATCCAGAGCCCAGCAAGAGAGTCTCCCTCAGGAGGGCTTCATTCACCCCAAATTCAGGAGAGACCACTCACTTGGCTTCCCTACATGCCCTGGACCAGCACAGCTCAGGGAAGGGAAGCTGGGGGTCCTGAACAGTGTGTGCTGTAGTCCAGAGAGGCAGGTTGGATCTGCAGGGAGGCTGGGGACAGAGGAAAAGGCATTTAAAAACAAGAGGGATTCCTATTATTATCTGCAAAAGAAGCTCTCCATACAATAGATGGGGGCTGCTGTGGAGAAGGGTATGAAGGGATGTTTGGAAACTGCTGTCTAAGGTTAAAAAGCTCTCTGAAGTGAAGCTGAACAAAGCTGACATACTTGTTTCTGACAGGACTCTTAAAAGATACGCACAGATTGTGAAAATATAATTAGACGCCAGCCTTTGTCTGGCCACAATGAGTGGGAAATGGTGAAAGGAGAGGTCTCCCAGTCTGCATTGAATCATCCCCAGGACACAATGAGGGCACTTGTGCATCCTTCTCTCGTCCCTAATGAGAAACGTTAATTGCCACAACCTCCCAAGTGTGTAGAGCACCCCATGCCCAGCGGAGGAAAAGGGGTGTTTCATTACAGCTTCTCAGCCCCATTACAGGCAGTAACGGAGATAATGAAAAATAAAGATGCCGCAGTTTTAGTTTGGGCAGCCTGGCGATGGGCACTGGGTGGGCAGGGGAGCAGGCATGGCCCAGCTCTGTGCCAGCCTCCAGGGGCTGTGCTGGGCAGCCAGAATGGGCAGGATAAGCCTGTCAGGCCCCAGCTGAGTGTCAGTGCTCAGACAGAGACTGTTTGTTCCTCCCTGTGGGCAACTGGGCTGTAGGGGGCCGGGCAGAGGCCCCTCTCTGCAGAGGCAGCAAGGTCTATCACTGACTCCAGCCTGCAAAGCCCACCTGAGCCTGGCACTACTCCATAAGGGCAGTTGTGGGAGTGGTGTGCCTGGCCCAAGGACTGCCAGGGCTCCAGCCCCACTGTGCCCACTCCCATCTGGGCACTCTGTCCATCACGGGGCTGCAGCCCCCAGTGCCATAGCCAGCTTGGGCAGGGTTCTGCTGATGGAGGAGGATAGAGAAGAGCCCACAGCCAGGGGGCTGTGATGCACCCCTCTGTGTATCACACAGAGCGGAGGGTCCAGCCCAAGATGCCCATTTGGGTTCAGAAACATGATGCACAGCCTCCATGCAGATGGTGGCATTTAATGGTGCAAAAGCAGAACCCCCTTCCCAGGTACGGTAGTCCTGGGTTCCCAGCCACCTTACACAGCTCTTTGCCCTACTGTAGCTTTTATTGCAACTAAAGCATCCAGCCAAGGGAGGAGAGCAAAAGAAATTGTTTTTCCTAAGCTATGATCAAGCCCCTAACTCTTCAGGGGATGTGGAAAAGGGAATTAAAAGGACCACAAAATACAAAAGCAAGTCAAGGCGTAGGGGAAAGGCTGGTGCAAGGGACAGCCTTCCTGTGCCTGGCCATCCGCAGCAGCCAAGGCAGGGTAAGGGTGTCCCTCGGGCGTTCTGGGATGTGCCTTCCCCATGGCTTTCTCCCAGGTGCTGAGAAGCAGTTCAGATTGTCTGCCAGGGTTTGCCAATGGACTGGATGTGCTCCTTGGCCTTCAGCCGCAGGGCTGCAATGCTGGTGTTGCGTGGGTCTGCCTCATCCAAAGGGAACTTGTCCACAAAGGTGGCCCCACACTGATAAGGCGGCGGCGGCCCCATGGCCCCCAGGGGCTGCAGCGCGTGGGTCACTGCTGGAGAGTTCAGGAAGGGTGGTGGTGTGTAGCTGCCAGGCAGGCTCTGCGGCGAGGCCACGAAGCCAGGCAGGGTCTGCAGGGCTGTGCTGCTGGGCACCGGTGGGCTGAGCCATGTCTCCAGGGGCAGGCTGCTGCTCAGAGGACCCATGGGTGTTGCCTGAGGCGAGCGGTTGAATGAGAGGATGGGCGAGTCCTGCAGCTTCATGGAGGTCACCTCTAGTTTCTCCTGCCGCCTCCACTTAGCCCTTCTGTTCTGAAACCAAACCTGCAAGCAGAACTGTGTCAGCCAGGACCCAGGTGGTGGACAGAGGCTCGCCCCTGGCTTCAGCAGTGCACACAAAACAGCAAAGGAAATACGCCTTTGCAAGCTGGGGCAGAAGGGAACCTGGGGGGCTCAGGCGTTCCTCCACGACCCACAGCCCTGCAC